AGTCCGGACATTGCCCTAAGCGATTACCATCTGTTTTTGGCCATGCAAAATGTTTTCGATGGACAAAAATTGAGTTCAAGGGAGGATTGTGAAAATCGAATCGCCGAGTTTTTTGCCAGGAGGGACAAGGACTTCTTTAGGAGAGGCATATACAAGTTACCATCAAAATGGCAGCAAATCATCGAAGACAACGGTACATATAGCACTTAAATCAGAAAATGCTAACTATGTTAAAATCGTCGTCAAAAATCAATAAAGAAACCGGTATGTCATTACCAAACAACCTAGTATAAGTCGGAATGGGCCGGATCGGGCGACGATATTGGATAGCTCCCATACGACAGATTGAATAAAAAAAATTATTACTTCCTTGTTTTTTATCATATCCACTTGATTTCTTAAAGAGGGTTTTTTTTTAATTTCTATCATAAAGCTGCTATATATAAAAAATCGAAAAATGCATGCATATATATGATGAAAAAAACTTACATCGTCGTTGGTTTTAATCCCACGAGCATGATTGTTAGAATATTTAGTTTTTTAACTACCCTTGAATCATGAAAAAAATTTTATACAAATCGGACAATTATATCATTTAGCTGCCATAGGAAAGATCGAAAAATCTATATAGAACTAATGGAAATTAACGGAGAAACAAGAAAAGAAGCTAGCTTCGGCAAGCCGAAGCTTATATACCCTTGCAGTCATCAAATATGTCGATCAAAATGCATAAAGGCTAAACAACATCGAAGCTATGACGATTTTTCTATATGTTTTCCATATTTTCGACTATTCTTCATATGGCAGCTATATGATATAGTTGTCCGATTATGATGAATCGAATTTGTAACTAAAGAGTCGTTAGAAAACTCTATATTCCTAAAATGTTGCTTGTCTAAATAAAAGCAACGATGTTATATTTTTTCCATTTTTTACATATATTTTTTTCGATCTTTCTTATGGCAGCTATATGATAGAGCTATCCGATTTTGATAAAGTTTAGTCCAAAATTCAATAGTAGTTACAAAACGCCATCTGGAAGACATTAAGTCGATGTAATCAAAAACAACAGCGTGAGAATTTTTTATTTCATTCCCTCGTATGGTGTAATGGTACAGCTGGTAATTATTTTTGCCACAGCCTCAGTTGGAGAGGGAATCGGACGTTCAGTGCACTATGCTGCGCTCTGCGCTCAGCTCGCCGGTATTGGGGTCGGGGTTTTTCCTATCCCTATGTTCTCCTTTAACTCACCACACTCGATAAAATAAAGTGCACTTCCTGACTCTACTCTACTAAATACAAAAATAACCAAAAATATCAGCATAATGATCCCCATCGGTATAGTTAATAGAAAGAGGCAAGCAAACACGGCTGTGGTGATCTTAGTTGGTATTGATCACCCGTTCTGTACCCGCCCTACCTTGGTAATGATATGGATGTTTGGCATTACCCCTAACACAAAATCAATACGTGTTCTAACCTCGATAATTCTTCGGCATTATGTAATTAGACAGACTCAGCGATATCATTAAATGTTCATATTTTAATTAAATTCCAAAGGTGATAATAATTATAATTATACATTTTCATTTTTTTCAAAGGGTTGTACTTAATATTCAAATCATGTTGCTTTAGATTAATTTTAATTTAAATGCTAAGAAATTCAACTTCATTTATTGTAAATTTAACAAAAGCCTAACGCAAGAATGTCAACTTCGATTGTACCCACTAAGGGTTAATTCATTTCCAAACAATTCCAAGTACCACTTACATTAACCTACAACAAGATCTTGGGCCCAACAAACTGTTTTGTAGCTGTGGAACAAGCGTTAGTAAATTTATATATATAATATATGTAAATGAGTATGCATATAGATAGTAGGCTGACATAAATCGTTAGAGGCTGTACACATGATATTACTTAAACTAAAAATGTCAATTAAGGGTTCATCAAATTATTCAAACGAAGAGAATTCAAATTAAAATTTAAATTATTTTAAAGTGGTTGACATTGGCACAGCTCTGACACACGGGTTAATATTCAGCGGTGCCAAACTCTTGTTTTCTTTCCAATACAGGGTGATTCGTGTACTCACGAAGAAAGGTTACATGTTATGCAACGCCATGTGCTAAAATTTGGTTGATGTTGTAGCTTAGATGTTGTTATTTTCACTTAAATGTGGCTGCTGTCCTGCTGTCGCTCTGATTGCTCCACAGATTCCCCTGGGTAGGGTATCCCAAAAAGGTTATGGCGCATCCCACTAATACCGACTGCAAAGTTGGGACACCGGCGGCAGCAAGATTTCCCTGCAGTTCTGGATGTCCACTGTGGACTTTTGGCAATTAAGCAATCAGTGTGTAGGAAAGGAAAAGGGATATTCCTAAGTGTTCCTCTCTTTCTCACTCTTATAACACGAATCGTTGCTTGCAAACGACGGCGGCCCGACTCCAAATTTGTCTTCTATTCTTTCGATCGGAGAAAAATGAAACTGCGTCATTCTTTTAAGTAGTGCTTCGACGATTGGTTGTGAAATTACTTCACTTGTGCAACTGGCAGCGGAAATGTTTAAAAATCATGTAAGTGTCGTTAATATTACAAAAACATTATGTTTTTTACTACAAACTTATTGAAATCTTTTTAGGATTCAGCCATACATATGTCCCATAAATTCGTTTGAAAGGTAAGTTTGCTTTAAATTAAAAAAAGTAATGTATAACATGTAATAATAAAAATATTTGTACCATAGATGGACGCAAAACAGCCGATGTCCTGCAAATACTCCACAGAAGGGGTAAACAAAAACTTTCGAATTTCATATTATTTATGTACCTACTTATTATTTTTTATATTACAAAATAAGATAAATTAATAAAATAAAAAAGAATTAAATATATATATATTGTTTTTCATATGAATTTGGGGATGACATTTTTAGGCTTGACATAGATGATTTCGCTAAGGACATCCTCGCAAAAGCCATCGTTGAAAACTTCGCCTCCACGTCAGCTACGAAAGCAACAATGGCTTATACGAATTTTCTCCATACAAAATTCGTATAAGCCACCGACGACTTGTTCGATGAAACGGACAAAAAAGTCATCGAGAGCGACATGTATCCCGAAAACGGCGGTGCCATATAAAATGTCTCTATAAACTCGCGCCGCTGCGGCTAAGGCTGCTACCCCCGCTGTCGTCGGTGCGGCTTCGCACACTTCTTCGACGACAAAGCAATTTTGGAACTGCAGGGTTAGAACACATACATATATGTATGTGTGTTTGTATGAAAGCGCGCAGCGCCAAGGCTGAGCTGGCCGCCGGTGACCAGGAGCTACGGAAGATTTACTAAATTAGCGTACCCACACAAATCTGTATGACTTTAGCAAATTTACCTTCAAAAACTTCAAATCAAATCGCTAGTTCACTACAGGTAGACTTTGGAGTCTCCTGATCGCTGCACAAAATTTGCGGTTCTCCGCCTACTAGCCTAAATTTGGACTTGCTATGGGTGCGGTTCCGAACACGTGGTTGGTTTTCACTCTTGAATTAAAATTTCTCGTTCACAAAATTTTACGCACTGTGGCGGTAGAAGATCGGCAGCCAAATGATCGAATCGGCCGAATATTCTAGCAGCGTGGCTATCTGTTTATGAGCTTTAACGGGACTATTCCTGGCCACTTAGCAATGGGTGCGTGTGAGACAAATATACGATTAAAGCTGAAGCAGTATAGTTGATCTTAAAGCTTGCACACTCGAGCTAGTTTAACCCTTAGCTGACCTAATAAAATTCGTACGTACGTTATAATTTAAAAGTCTTGTCTTTCTGTTCACTGTCCACTACCAGTGCTGCCAGGTTCATGGTTCAAGAAATACGTAGGGAGGAAGAAAAGTAGTGGGGAGAGCATTCTGAAAATACGTACAAATGCGAGATGACCGCTAATACTCAATGTGTAAGACAAGGACAGACACGCTGTCAGTATATATATAGGTACATCAGAGAGGTTTAAATACTCTCTAGTAGACCTCTCGAAAAATCGATGAGTCGCATGTCGCATATATGCAACTCATCGATTTTTCTTTATATATATATATATATCAATATATATGGTTCTGTATTATTTTACGAATCATTGAGGTGTATGGAAATACCGCACTTGAGAGTATAAATTAAGTACGTACGAATATACGTACATAGTCGGCCTGAGCCGAAAAATACGTACAATACGTATAAATACGTACATCTGGCAGCACTGGCCACTACACCCACAGGTTATGTTCCTGAGATTTCGAGGGAATCGTAATCTGAAAAAGGTCAGTGCGATTAATAAAGGTTTATGTTTTTTGAATATCCTTTAGGTGGTAAACTCCCATTTCCCTACCGTTTCCGTTGGCTAATTCGTTGTACACTGAAAATCCGGTAGTTGGATGTAGACTAGATCGAATGGCTCCGTTGATCTCGTTCAATTTCTGATCCCAGGTTGTATGATCTTTCCCTACGTACGCTCTTATGGCTGCTAATACTGAACGGTTTAAGCGTTCACTTGCGTTAATCTGTGGAGAGTATACAACAGTGGATACGTGCTTAATCGAGTATCTAGTAGGAAAGGCTTCAAAGAACCCTGAACGGAATTGCAATCCATTGTCTGTGAGAATTGATTCAGGAACTCCAAATGTAAATAAGATATGCTTTTCAAGGAATTCACAAATTTTTCCGATGTAAATTTTTTCAACGGACAAAGAAAGTGAAACTTTGTAAACTGATCGACAATAATCAGTAACCCAATGTTTCCTGCCTTCGAACGAGGATATGGAACTAACAAATCCATATAAAATCACTGGAATGGTCTATCTGACTTTTTGTCTGCTTACAAACGCTACAATTGTTCACATATTCTCGAATTTGAATAAGCATCTTCGGCCAAAACAGGTATCTTTTGAGTTTCTCCACTGTTTTACCTATACCGCAATGAGAAGAGCCTGGAGAATCATGAGCTTGTTGCAGGACGCTTTTAACTAGTTCGAAGTATGACGACGGCTATTCCTGGTTCCGCGTGTTTGGCGTCTTCTTCCCCACAGTCACAGGCGTTCTCTCTGGCATCAACATGAGCGGTGATCTGCGTGCTCCCTCTACAGACATTCCCAACGGCACCCTGGCAGCCTTTGGCACCTCAACGTTTCTGTACCTGGTGTTTGTACTCTTTCTGGGCGCAACCTGTCAGTGTGACATTCTTTACATAGACTACATAATCTCGGCCAAGGTGTCGGTCGCAGATTTCCTGCTTTTGGCTGGCATCTATGTATCCAGTATGTCCTTCTGCCTGGGCGCCATGTACGGCGCCCCGCGTGTTCTTCAGAGCATCGCCAAGGAGAACGTCATTCCCGGCATAGATATCTTAGGAAAGGGCCGTGGTCCCAACAAAGTGCCTTTATACGCCATGGCCATTGTGGCTTTGGTCACCGTCACCTTCATTATGGTGGGCAACATTAACTTTCTGGCGCCCATCGTGACCATGCCTTTCCTGCTGACGTATGTCTGCATCGATTACGCCTACTTTGCATTGGCTAAGACCTTTGATATTCAAGAACAGCGCGAGGAGCGCTTTTGCATTCAGGCCTTAAGTCCTAGCTACGAGACGCGTCGTTATGGCAGTGTCTCAGACACGGGCAATGATCTTGACCTGCTGTTCCCGGATCGAGTGCGCCACAAGAACCTGCAGAGTCCGCAGAACTCCCCGCTCCATCAGACGGTGCCGCTGGCGCTTAACAGTGGGGGCACCAGCACCTCAAACCAGGCACAGGTCTCCCGTTCCTCGGAGCCGAGGTTGGGCACCGAGGCGGACACAGCTCTTGCTGTGGATCAGGGGGCCGGGCAAGGAGGTAGTGTAATAGGCGTAAAGTTTGAATGACTTTATTCGAGCTCAAGGCCCGTCTTTTATACGTTTCGGTTTACATTGGTTCTTATGCGTAAGCTTAATCCTAACGGTTCTTATCGTAATCTTACATTAGTTGATATGAAACATATGGTAATTAAAGGAGCTTTGAAGTTTAGTTACATTGATCGGTCAAAGGAGAGCTTTGAAGCTTTTGAGCGTGGTTTATGTCTGTTATACAAAGGTTGTTATATTTGATGTTTATATATGAATGTTATACGAATGTTACACCTCCCTTTTGTTTTGAAAAAAAAATATAATATATAAATTGTTAAAGTTATTATTATGTTTTTTTTTTTTTTTTTTTTCATTATTAACCTATTAACTTAATTCTATTTAAGTGTACAGTTTGTTTTTTTTTGTTTTTTCATGCTCTATTACTACATTGTTATTTTCGCCTATGTTTACAATCGTGTATTTTCCTATGTATTGGTTATCTAGCTTATGTCCTATTTCGTTTCTTAGCAAAATTTTTTGGCCTATTTTTATTTTAACATTATTTGTGTGTTTATCATAGTTCATTTTTTGTTTTAATTTGTATTTTTCTATCATTTGGTTTGCTTTGTTTTGGGATAATTGTAGTTTATATTTGAGTTCTTTATTGTAGTCTTCTATATTGTAAACTGGGTCAATGGAGTTTGAAGAAAAGGGTATGTTTGGAGCTATTTTACCAAAAACGAGTTCAAATGGGCAATGGCCGTGTACTATTGAGGGTGTTATATTAAAACAATAAGTAAAGTATTGTAGGTATTCGTCCCAATTAGTTTTATTTATTGAAATATATGATCTTATGTATTCGTTAAAGGTTCTATGGCTTTTTTCTATGGTACCAAGAGTTTGATGGTGATGTGCTGTAGAGTTTAATTTGTTGATTCTTAAATTTTTACAAAGTTCTAGTAAAACAGAATTCATGTATTCTGTTCCCATATCAGTTATAAAAGTCTTCATCGGCCCATATATTAGGATACATTTTTCGAAAATTGCTTTTGCGATTGTGTCAGCGCTTTTATTTGGGACCGGTATAGTAACTAGGTATTTTGTTAGATCGCATATTCGTTCCTGTTTTCAGTTTTTGGCAATGGTCCTATTGTATCTATTAGGACTCTTTCGAAGGCTTTAACTGGTGTGGGTGTTAATATCATTGGTGTTTTGATATGAGTTGTTGTTTTTGCCAACTTGCATTTTTCACATTGTTTAATGTAGTTTGTGATATCTTTTGTCATATTTTTCCACTTATATTCTCTTTTTATTTTGTTTAATGTTCTTGTGACCCTACTGTGACCTCCCGTTATTGGGTTATCATGAAATTGTTCTAATATAGTGGTTAGTTGATCTTTTTCTTTTCTATTTATCTTTTTTATGGGTGGTAATATTATTATTTTTATTTTTTTCAAAAGTTTATTACCAATTTCTTTAAATTTGTTTATGCTCGTTAAGTGGAAAAGTTCATTATTTATTTCAATGAGTAAAATATGAATTTTTGAATCATTGGCTTCTTTTTCAAGCCTTGGAAAGAATCTTTCTAAGTTGATTTTTCCTTTAATGACAAAATCCTTTATATTGAATGATACAATTTTTGTTTTTCCCTGAAATATTTTGCAGCTGTGCTTGTGTATTGTTAATTTAATTGCTCCCTTCTTATGGCTGTGATTTATTGATTCGAATACTTGTAATTCTGTGATTTGTTCTAATTTTTTGTTGTTTTCTTTCTTATTACTACTTTCAGTTTGTTTTTTTCGTTTCTAACCTAGTTGTCATTTTTCTGACATTATTTGTATTATTTTTAATATTCTTAATATCCTCAAAATTAATTCTTGATAGAGCATCTGCTATATAATTTTCACGTCCCCTGATATATTCTATAGTAAAATCATATTCTTCTAAGTCTAACCTCATTCTTATTAGTTTTGATGATGGATTTTTTAATGAAAATAAATAGGTTAGTGGTTTGTGGTCTGTTTTTATTAAAAATTTCACTCCATAAATGTACGGCTTAAAATATTGAACAGCCCAATGGATTGCTACCAATTCCTGTTCAATAACTGCCTTGTTACTTTCTCCTTTTGTGAATGATTTTGATGCAAAGGATATGGGTAACTGCTTTACGTTATATTCCTGGCTTAAAACTGCACCACAAGCATACTTGCTTGCGTCTGTTGTTATACAGAATTGTTTATTAAAGTCAGGATATTGTAATATTGTGGGGTGTTGTAAACAATTTTTTAGATAATTAAATGCTGTTTGACATTCTGTAGACCAGTCAAAAGTAATGTTTTTTCTAGATAATTTTGTGATATGGCGTGCTGACTTTGCGAAATTTGGTATAAATCGGCGATAGTAATTGCAGAAGGCTATGAATCGTTTCGCTTCTTCCCCGTTTTTAGGAATTGCGTAGTTTTTTATTGTTTCAAATTTACTATCATCTGGCAATATCCCTTTATTTGTACATTTATGTCCTAAAAATGCTACTTCATGTTTAAAAAATATGCATTTTTCTGGATGTAGCTTTAAGTTATACCGTCGGCATGTTTTAAAAACGTCTTCTAGATTATCAAGCATGTGTTTTTCTGAGCACCCTATAACTATTAGATCGTCCATATAAAGAAACGCTTGAGAGGGTTTTAACCCTGCAAATGCTAACGTCATCATTCTTTGAAAAGAGTTTGGGGCTATTTTTAATCCGTATGGTAGCCTTTTAAATCTGTAGAATCCTCTGTCTGTGGAGAATGACGTGATGTCACGAGATGTTTCTTCTAGTTCTATTTGGTGGAATCCTGACATCAGATCTAAACAGGAAAAATATTTTGCTCGTCCTAATTGGTCTAAAATGTCGTCCATTCTAGGTAGTGGGAATTTGTCGGCTATTAATTGTTTATTTATTTTTCTGTAGTCTATTACTAGGCGCCACCTTTTTTCAGTGCTGCCAGGTAACGATTTTTTTGGAACTAATAAAATTGGGCTGTTGAATTCAGACATTGATGGTTCTATTATTTTGTCATTTATAAGTTTGTCTATGTGTTTATTTATTTCTCCTTTTTGATTATGTGGAATTCTGTAGTTCTTTGTGTATACTGGTGTATTGTCTTTCAAGGTTAGTCTCTGTTTGTAAAAGTTATTACATGTAATTTTATCGTCTTGTTTAGCAAATATGTCTGTATATTCATTGCACAAATTGTATATTTCTGTTTTCACGAATAATGGAAAGTTCTTTTCTAGAGTTGACATAATGTCCTTTTGATGTTGTTTTGTTTGTGTGTGTGTAAGATTGTATAGTTCATAGTCAGATAGTTTTTCATTCTTAAGTTTTGTCTTCTGTATTTGGGCTTCTTTAGAGTTAGTGTTAATAATGCGGACGAAAGGGCTGTTTTTTGAAATTATTGTATTAGCTATGAATACACCTGGATGGATTTCTTGGTTTGGGATTAATATTTCGTTTTCTTTGTTGTTTATTGTAATTTTTTCTATTATTTCTGTTCTGGCTGGGATTACTAAAATATTATTTTGAGGTTTTATTAGTATTGGGATTAATGTTTCTTGATTGTCATAAGGTTGGTTAAGGATAGGTATGTTGTTTTTGTAGTCAAGAAGGCAGTTATAATTTTTTATAAAATCTAGGCCTTTTAATCCATCGTACGGGATTGGGAAGTCATCTTTTACTATATGAAAGGTATGTGGTAATGTTGTGTTATGGGTAGTCAGTTTTAGTTGAATTTCTCCTAATGTGTTTACCGTGCTTTCCCCTATTCCATGTAAACTTGTGCGTTTGTTTCTGTTAATTTGGCTTGAGTTTGGTAGTATGATTTTTTGTTTTATTAAAGAGATGTCAGCACCGGTATCTAGTAATAGTGTAATGTTTATTCTGTTTATTCTTAATCTAATACAGCTATTGAGGCTTTGACTTAGTGTATAAATCTTATGTGTACTTAATTTGAACTCAGGGGACGTACAGAGTTTTCCTGTTGCTCTTCTTCGTTTATGAATCTATTATTATTGTTAGTGTTTTCATTTTCTTCATTTATAAATCTAATGTTATTATTGTTCTCATGGCTTCTACTATTGTTGTTATATCTATTACTACTATAGTTATTGTTGCGATAGCTACCTGTGTTGTTATATCTATTACTACTATAGTTATTGTTGCGATAGCTACCATTATTATTGTAGCTGTTGTAATTTCTATAATTTCTATTAAAATTTCTTGATCTGTCATTTTGGTTTGTAGGACTTCGTTTTGAAAAGAGTATTGTGTTATCTGTTATATTAGTAGAGCTACTAACAAACTTAGCTATTACTTCGTTCATGTTGGTAAATTGACCAGCCTCCATTATTGTTTTTAATTTTTCGTTTGTACAATTTAGTACAATGGCTCTGACAGCTACCCTAGTCGCGTATTCATTTGCTGTTTCAGGCTTTAACTTATCTATGATATATGCACGTTTTAGTGCCTTTGTAATTGTTTCAATTTCGGATGTATATGCGTTAGCTGTTTTCCCGTGTTGTTGCAGATTCATTAATCGGGCTTCTAGTACCTGTACTGATTCTCCCTTTATATTTCTTTTTAGAGTCTCTATAATTTCTACAATAGTTTTTTCTTCTGTAACAAGTAATCGTACATCACCTTTTAGCTTTGTTTTGATTATTCGGATTGCTGTTGACTCATGTGTACCCTTAATGTCGTCCAAAAGTTCGAGTGAGTCTATAAAACTTTGAAGGTTTTCAGCCTTCCCATCAAACTCTTGGATCAATTTTGATGCTGAATTAAGGAATTCTATATTTGTTTGTGCCATTTTGTCCTTTGCTATGAGAGTTTTCTTAACTTCTGTTATTATTTCGAATCTAAATTCAGCTTGTTTTTCTAGAGCGATTGGGATTGAAGCTGTTATTTGATGTTTACTGCAGATATTAACTAAAAAATTTTTGAGTGTTTCTATTATTTCAGTAACTTGAGGCTTTTCATCGGGTGTTCCTAATTCTGAGTTCTCTCTTATTATTTCCTTTATGTTATTAAAGCTATCGAATAGGGTATCTAAATGTTTTTTAATTGTAGATGGTTGAATATATATGTTTTTGTTGAGACACTTGTAGGCTTTATCAAAATTTTCTTTATGTGATTCTATTTTGTCCTTTATGTCTTCCCACTCCATTGACATTTATAATTTAATTATAATGTTGGCAAAAAATTTTTAAATCAATATAACTTCTCGAAATTAAATTATTTAAATTCCCTTTTTTTTTTCTAAGTGTACATTAATTTATTTATTTTACATTTAAATATTTTATTTATTTATTTATTTATTTTATTTTTCATTTTAGCCTTATTAATAACAATTTTAATGTTGTTTGTTTTAAATTTTAAATTCATTTGTTTATATTTTAGTCTTATATATAAATAGGTAATAATTTTAATTTGGTTTGTTTCAATTCAATTCAATTCAATTTAAATTCATTCGTTTAGTTTACATAATATTTTTAATATGTATATTTATATAGGTATATATATATATTTTTTTTTGTTTTGTTTTGTTTTTTTGGTTTTTTTTTTTTTTTTTTTTTTTATAACATCGGCGTTTTCGCCAGGTTGTTTTTATTTTGTTTTTGTTATTGTTGTTGTTGTTGGTGTCGTCTTTGTGCGTCTGCTTCTTGTTGTTGTTCTATGTCGTCAATTCGTTTCCAAATTGCGCAGGCTTCGTCCCAAGGTGGTGGTGGGTCTCGGTTGATGAGCGATAGCAGCGCTGCTCGTAGTCGTCGTAATTTGACAATCCTCCCTCCTCGTTGTCTCTTCGCTGGTGTTGATGGGATCGGGTTCTCTCTTATGACCCGTGGTTTCGGGCCGGCTGCTGGTTCTCTCTTTAGTGCTTCCCTGATGGCCTCCAGGTGGGCACTCTTTTCTCCTTTTAGATTTATATACCGCTGTTGGGCCCACTGGATAGTGTTTTCCAACTTTTCCTCTTTTGTATGCGGTTCTTTTCTAGCCGGTATACTGGCTATAGCTTTATTAGTGTTTATGCTGAGCATGCCTTATTGTGGATTGGCTTGGGCTCTTAATATTTTATTTTGCCGATATTAGGCAGGATCGCCATGTAATAGGCGTAAAGTTTGAATGACTTTATTCGAGCTCAAGGCCCGTCTTTTATACGTTTCGGTTTACATTGGTTCTTATGCGTAAGCTTAATCCTAACGGTTCTTATCGTAATCTTACATTAGTTGATATGAAACATATGGTAATTAAAGGAGCTTTGAAGTTTAGTTACATTGATCGGTCAAAGGAGAGCTTTGAAGCTTTTGAGCGTGGTTTATGTCTGTTATACAAAGGTTGTTATATTTGAGTTTATATATGAATGTTATACGAATGTTACAGTAGCGAGCACGATCAGGAGCAGGGCGACGAGATCGAACCGATAGCTCCAATACGCCCGCCCATCCACTCGAAAACAAAAAACTGGTACTCGGGCTATTGCAATCGTTGGGCCTCTCTTATTATGGTATTACACACTTACTTGTTTCCTTGTGGTGTTTGTTGTTTGGTTTTACGTGGGCACGGCCAATCCGGCCGTGAAGCCAGGTCTTACTGCGGAGTTTAATTTTTTCACCTGGCTTAATAGCGTCATATTTCGGCGTCTAGTTCTACTTTTTCCCGTGCAGACGTGATTCTTGATCGCTCCGCCGAGCGAGTCAATTAGCTCGATATTTAAGTGAAATAAAAACTGAAATAGTACCGAAAGGACGCTGGCAGCAATACCAAACCATATTAGCTCCATTTCCTTGTTTTCTAACAAATCAAAGTGAAGAAAACAATTAATCTCAAACAAAATACAATGCCTGCGGGCAAATCAATAATAAGTGCAACTAGTAAACCCACGAGTCAAAGTAGAATGCAACAACAACAAAAGCAAGACGAACGCCGACTGTCTTCTGCCGGAATAATGCTTATGTAGAAATTGTTTCGGAGACAGTAAGTAACGAACACGCAACAACAAAAGCAATGTCATTGACTGCTTCCGAGAGAGCGCGCTCTCTGCCACCTGCACTCCTAAGCTCAAGCCGCGCTGCCATGACCCAGTCGTGGAGCTCCCAATGCCCATCTCCACTCTCACCACTCATTGCACTGACTACGTCTGCTCTTGCGCTGACCAGCACGGTGCCCTCTCTTACAACTGTTGTTTCGACGACGACAACAACAACTTCAACGTCGGTGTCAAATCTGTGGCCGATATTATCATCGCAAGTGAAATGTGTCTCTGCTGCCTCTCTCCCACAAACTACGCTTGTACAGACCGGGATCGATCGGTATGTACAAATAAAAAGAAAGCTTAGCCCACAAAAAACGAACGCAAACCTGCCGAAAGTATCGAAAACCCCAGGCAACAACAACAAGGCAACTTCTGAAAATAGATTTGCTATACTTGGTGACCTTGGAGAAGATGAGGGTTAACCGCCTCAACCCACCAAAGATGTAAAGCCACCCCCCTATCTACGTTACGGAACACAATTGCTCGGAGCTTATTAACAATCTTAAACAAAAAATCGGGCCAAAAAACTTTTATATTACCAACTTAAAAAGAGGTAATATATCAGAAACCAAACTCTAAATAAAAAATGAAAGCAACTACCGCACTGTGACGGATTTCATCGACCATGTGCCGGTAAACTACTACACCTACCAGCTCAAAAGTAGCAAAGGACTACAAGTTGTAGTAAAAGGAATAGAATCAACCGTCTCGGTAGCTAACATAGCCGAGGGACTAAAAGAACAAGGTTTTGACGTTAAACATGTAACCAATATAATCCACAGGGAAAAAATCCCTCAGCCACTATTTAAGATTGAACTGGCACCAGAGACTGCACCTCTTAAGAAAAATTCAGTCCACCCTATTCACAAGTTACAATATCTTCTCCACCGAAGAATTACCGTAGAGGAGCCACACAAGCGAAACGGCCCGGTACAATGTACTAACTGTCAGGAGTTTGGGCACACAAGGAGCTACTGCACCTTGCGATCAGTCTGCGTCGCCTGTGGTGATTTGCACTGCATAGATGCATGTCAGAGAAACAAAGAAGACCCTGCAACGAGGAAATGTAGTAACTGTGGTGGAAACCACACAACCAACTATAGGGGCTGCCCTATCTATAAAGAACTCAAGACACGTCTCACCCAGAGGCGCAGCAAAGCAACTACCGTTCAACATGTTGCTCAGCCAAACTACTTCGCGCAATCAGGAACAACACCCGGAGTCTCCTTTGCCAGAGCTCTTCGATACTCTGGAGCATCGCCAGTGCCAGTAAGTTATACTTAGCCTGAAGTTGTGCATTCTCTCCAGCCCACATCAAATCGAAAAGATGACTCGCTGCCAGAGCAAAATACCCATCGATTAACTCAACCCAAAGCTTTCCCCCCACAAGCACATAGCGGACTTGAACATACATTAACTACGCTTACAAAAATTATGCTATCGATACAAAGTACCCTGCAAGACCTAACGCGAAACCAAAATCATCTTTTGGAGCTTTTAATTAAAAAATCTAAATGAATCCCTTAAAAATATGCTTCTGAAACGCCAACGGCGTTTCCCAACACAAATACGAACTCCTTCAGTTCCTAAACAACCATGATATCGATATCATGCTTCTCTCGGAAACACATCTAACCAATAAAAACTATTTTTATCTCACCGGCTATGTATTTCACGCGACCAACCATCCAGATGGCAAAGCGCATGGAGGCACTGGCATTCTCGTCAAACAGCGCATAAAGCATCATCCTCAGGACGCATTCGCTACTAACTACTTGCAGGCCACATCCATACGTATCAATATAACCAGCGGTCCACTCACACTATCAGCTGTGTATTGTCCCCCACAATTCAATATTCCAGAGAATGAATTCTTGGCCTTCTACAACTCACTAGGTAACTGCTTTATAGCTGCCGGTGACTATAATGCAAAACACCACTACTGGGGCTCTCGGCTTATTAACCCCAAAGGACGACAACTATACAATGCTATTATCAAACCTAGTAATAAGCTAGATTTTGTTTCACCGGGTAGTCCTACATACTGGCCAGCAGATCCGAATAAACAACCAGACATTGTCGATTTTGCCGTAACTAGTGCCGCCCAGGCTGATTCGCGTTGGAACACTGGCGGAACTTTCATCTGATCATTCGCCTGTTCTTCTCTGCCTAATTGAACACCCACAGCTTGTAAAGCGACCACAATTTCTGACTTCCAATACAACAAACTGGCTAAAGTATAAAAAATATATCAGCTCTCACATTGAAATCGAACCCAATATCTCGTGTGAAGCTGACATTGAAAACTCACTTAAGCACATAACAGATGTAATGTCCTCAGCTGCCAAACACTCTACACCTGACCCTTTAGCTACATCCCTCCCAAATACTATGCGTGCAAACATGCAGATCCAATCGCTTCAAGAAAAGCGTAGACTTCGCCGAAATTGGCAGACACACCGATCCCCGGCCACTAAACAAAGCTATAAAGAAGCCTGTCGGAAGCTATCTAAAGCTTTAATAACTGAGAAGAATCAGGCTCAACGTGCGTATATAGCACAGCTTTCACTCATTAGCAACAAATTCCCACTCTGGAGAGCGCACCCAAACATTCAACCACCTATAGAGCCCGATTTTACAATTCGATCACCAACAGGTGTATGGGCGCGTAGTGACGAGGAAAAGGCCAACATCTTCGCCTCTCACTTACAATCATAATCATAATATAACAAATAAATAATAATAAATAATAGACATTAATAATACATAGTATAGGTTAAGATCTGAATTCTTATTGTAAGTCTCTTCAAGAGAAGATTCAATAAATAAAGATAAAGCTCAAAAAAAAAAAAAAAGCATCTTCCAACCTCATCCGCCGGCGAATCAATTTACTTTGCCAAACATCCCACCAGCAGAGCCTTCCTCCACAGTCATTCTTGAAACAAGTACTTTCACAAAAGCCATTGCAAAACAGATGAATCCGAAAAAAACGCCCCCGGCCATGATTCAATTTCGCCTGAAATGATAATTGAACTGCCTGCATGTGCAGTTAAATGCATCACCACCATATTTAACTCAATTCTCAAATGGGGCTATTTTCCTCTGCAATGGAAAAAGTCCGTTATTACAATGATACCGAAACCAGGCAAGGACAAATCCCAACCTTCGCCATACAGGCCCATTAGCCTCCTTCCGTGCTTATCAAAGCTATTTGAAAAGGTGCTTTCATGCGACCTAAGAACACACCTCCAAAACTACAGAGCGATTCCCCTGCATAAGTTCGGCTTTAGGGAAATTCACGGAACTATCGAACAGGTAAATCGCATAACAGCTGAAATACGCGCAGCTTTTGAATACAGGGAATATTGCAGTGCCATATTCCTAGACGTGTCTCAAGCCTTTGATCGCGTTTGGATTGAAGGTCTAGTTTACAAAATCAAGACCGTCTTGCCACAAAACACCCACAAGTTGCTTGAATCTTACCTCAAAGATAGAGTCTTTACTGTAAGATGCAAAAACTTCTTCTCTGAAAACCACAAAATCAAGGCTGGAGTACCCCAAGGAAGTGTGCTCGGACCGATCTCGTATCTCCTTTACACTGCTGATATTTCCACAAGCGGTCAAACAATCCTATCCACCTTTGTTGATGACACAGCTACAGTGGTGGCCATAAGTATTTTGTCAAAATAAAAGTGAAATATACTCGAAACCTGAACTTGCTTCTTTTAACTTTTGGTATCAATGGAAAGGTAATTCTGCCTTTTAAGGTAAAAATGCCTTTTGAATGATACCATACTTTTCTCAACTCATTCGATATTTATTGAAAAGGGCAATTTAAAAAAAAGTCAAAAATAAACTTTTTCCCTCGGCTTTAAAACTAAAATTTTTGGATGCAAAAAGTTTCTTTAATCAAAAATAATAGGAACTGCAAAAAGAATTTTTCAAAAATAATTTTTCTTCTATTTTTTAAGATTTTTTGAAGGTGACAATGTCGGAAAAAGTTTGTATGGAAAAGAGAAAAATATGGCTGAAATGCGTATTTCTAGTCATTTTCAAAAAATCATTAAAAATAGAAGAACAATCGTCCTCATCGATGACTTTTAGACCCTATAGCGGTCAAGGATCTTGGATCACCTGCAAGCAGTGGTTGAAGGGACAGGATGTGTGGTTGTGGAATGCTTTCCATAGTCGAGTGCATTTCTTTAACACTAACAAAAATTAAAATAAACTACAGTAAAGTGAAGCCAGCAAAGCAACCAATCTTAAGAAAACTCCCTACTATGCAGACTTACTCGCTAAGTATGTGTGTAAATTTGATGAATGTATTTAAAGCGACAGCAAAAACTAACAGAGAGAGTGGTGACAGTTTAAGATCCTTCGTGTTGCTGCTACGCACACACGCAAGGGTGCCGATCAGTGATAAATACATGAATTTCTAACAGCGTGTTTTTAAGCTTAAATTTGGCAGTATTGCATTGGATTTTTTTTCGTCACGACGCAATATCCGGGTAATTTTTTTATTTTTTTTTAATTTGGTTCCTATAAGCGGTTTGTCGCTAAAAGCGGAAACGCACTAAGCGGAGGCCCTTTCATATAAGTTTGTATGGGGACCAACCAAACCATCGAGTCGTAATTCAGGCGGCCGTGGCCCACGCTTTTGTGGAAAAGGCCGGCGAAGACCTGCGTAGGGAAAATGATTTGCGCCAGACTACACAAAATAGCAGCGATGCAAATTCCACCCACCTCTGCAGAAGCCCCTCAGATAAGGGTCTATGAACCTATACATATAAGGGGCGATGTCCAGTGTAATGAGCCATTGGACGTTGTTGATTCCCTGCCCGAATTTGCGGGTCACCTTACTCACTAATAAAAACACTATGCTTTCGGAGGCATTGGCGGCAAAGGTTTTGTGTGCCGGGATGATGCCTTTAGCGTATTTATTTCGGGACTTAAACGCAGTCTTACTGATGTCCTCTTCTCGGCGAAGCAAAAAGACATGCCATCTGCGCTTGCGTTGCCTTCAGAAGTGAAAACGAACCACGAAATATACTCATTCGCAACGTTGTTAGCTAAGAGCCAAGAGGATTGAAAGAGCAGCCATTTTCCAAAAGCGCAAGACCGCCAACAAACCCCCCTCAAGTACACCCCCAAACAAGTACTGGGAAAAAATACCTACTTTACTAAACATCATAGATCGCAGGTACACTCTGCTTTACGAAACGATAGGCATCGTGAAAACACTCCAGAATCCATGGACGTTGACCCCTCGCTGTCCTCGCTAAAGAGGCAGAAGGTTAATCACGTTACGCAAAGCGTCAACACTCCCGATGAGAGATACTCACTCTACCGCGGCTTCTAGCGCGGCAAAAGAAATGAATGACGACGCCATTTGCGAGTACGACTCGGACGCCATTAATTTTTTAGCGGAAAGTCCCAGCCGCCCGTCACCAGACGAAGAGTAGCGGGGATTGATATGAGGCTTCTCGTTGACACGGGCGCATCAAAAAACTTCATCCGACCATTCGAAGGATTGAAAGGCGTCCGCCCAGTAAAAGCTCCGTTTACAATTCATTCCATTTATGGCATCACCACTATTACGAAGAAATGCTTTGTGTCAATTTTTAACTTGAAGGCCACGATCTTCATTTTACCTGACGTGTCTTCCATTGATGTGATTCGACCTGCTAAAAAAGGCTGGGGCATTACTTTGTCTAGCTTCTGGCCACCTCAGATGAGGCACCGCGCGACATGAAAAAAGCCTTCGCAACGCCCTAACGAGGCCCTGCCATATAGAGCGTCGGTGGTGGCTACCTTAAGAACTATTAGCGAACCCCATACCCAATGGGGGCAGCCGGTTTCGTCAATGATGAAATTCAAGATCTGGTAAAAAATGGCATAATTCAAAAGTCGAAATGCCCCTACAATAACCCAATATGGGTAGTAGATAAGAAGGGCACCGTCGAATCTGGGCAGCGGAAAAGGCGTTTGGTGTTGGACCTTCGCAAACTGAACCAGAGAACAATACCCGATCGATACTCCAGCCAAATATATCGATGATATTTGGAAACTTAGGCAAGGCCCAGTACTTCACAACACTGGACTGGTAGTCCCGCCATCATCAGATCACACTGACAGAGCGCGATCGATATAAAACTTCCTTTTCTGTAAACGGAGGAAAGTATGAATTTCGCAGACTGTCATTTGGATTTAAAATGCTGCCAGCATTTTCCAAAGAACGATAGACGATATACTTCGAGAACAGATTGGCAAATTTTGCTTTGTTTATGTTGATGATGTCATCGTCTTTTCTGAGGTGAGAACTCGCACATCCCGCACGTAGACTGAGTTCTTAAGAGCCTCCACGATGCTAACATTAGGGTATCAACGCAAAAACCGCTTTTTGGGGTTCATAGTCACCAACAACGGTGCCAATGCTGACCTCGAAAAAATCAAGGCCATTCAGGTGTACCCAGAGCCCAGGAACGTATTCAAAGTCAGATCATTCCTGGGCCTGGCTAACTATTATAGATGCGTTCGGACATTCGGACATTCGGACATTATCGGACATTCTGAAAGGGGAACATGGAAGTGTCAGTAGCCACAGGTCTAAGAATATTCAGGAATATTCAAGATTTTTTACAAGCCTGGCAAAGACGACCTCGTTGCTGATGTCCTCTCAAGACAACAACTTAACGTTATGGGAGAGGAAGAAGCTTACTCGAGCGCGGCTACAATTCACAGTAAGCTGTCGCTCACGCATACTATTGAAACTACGGACAAGCCATTGAATTGCTTCCAGAACTAGATAACTCTGGAGGACGGGCGCTTCCCGTCAAAACGCAGCTTCGTACTTTTTGGAAACAAGAGGCGACATAACATCGACTTCACACGCAAAAAATCATGATGAATTGCTCCCGCAATTTCCAGCGGACGGGTTCACAGATCGGCTCAGGAAAATGTGAAGCAGGTTCTCCGAGTACTACTTTCCGAAAATGGCCAAATTGTCGAACGAAATAGTCACTAACAGCAAGAAATGTACTAGGGGCAAAATATAACAGACATCCTAAGAAACATAAGCTTGGAGAAGCGTCAATCCCGTCTCATGTAGGGGAAAGCTACATAGAGATATTTTCTTCACGGATAAAAATTATTTTCTTACGTGCATCGAAAAATTTTCAAAATTTGCCATGGTTTAGCCAATACCCTCTATTATTATAGAGGATCTGAAGCCAGCCCTCTTACAACTTATGAATGTTTTCCCTAAAGCCAAGGTCATATATTGCGATAATGAACCATCATTGAACTCGGAACAGAACAAAAGATTTATCCGACCGACGTGGTTTAAACACAATTAAGTAACCCGCAGTACGAGGTAGAGGATAATATAAGGCACGACCAAGATAGGCTCAGAACCAGAGAATCCAACAGGCGACTAGGCAAGAAACTCTCACTATTATGTGAGGAGAAAACTATGGAAGCGAACATGGGGGCTACAGTCCTCATTAAGGGGAGGGTGGTTCAGAAGGAGAACCTTAGGTAAAGCATAACTTTGTTATCATTCGCCAAATAGTTTTTTATTTTTTATTATTTTTGTCACTAGCAACTTGTCATAGATTTTTTTAGTCGCTTTTATTTTTAGTCATGCTTTTTTTATATACCTTGGGTGCGTGCTACCCCATTTGGAACAAACATTACAATATATCAAACAAACATTACAAGAAGTCGCATTCGTAAGACACACAGCGAATCTTTCAGAATATAGGCGCGTAGTGGAGGAAACTGATGGCATGACTAACATGTTCCCCCTATCGCATATGCAAAAACTCTTGAGCGTTGACGATGCCCACCTACGCAACCTGCTCGACTCATTGAGCATCCACTATAAAGTAGCTTGAAGCTTAGATTTCCTAGGAACGGTGGTGAAAGTAGTTGGCAAGACGCCAGACGCAGAAGATTTCGAAAAAATTAAATTCACTGAATTTCAATTAATTAATGCACAAAATAGGCAAGTAAATATCAATAACAAGGTACAAGATCAAATTAACTTCTAAGGACGGCTAAATGATCTCAAATTGACATGGGGCACCTATACGAGATGTTATAATCTCGGAAAATGATGATTGCAAGGAGATGAAAAATTTAATATTTGCAGTAGCTCTTGCTAAACTCAATATCGTAAGCCCTACCATATTAGATCTTGCAGACCTGGAAAATGTGTGGATGGAAGAGCCCATCGATACCCCTATTAAAGATGTATTGTCCGTTGAGTACGTCAAGATCTTACAATCCATTAACATTTTGCATTTCGTTATCAAATTTCTTAAAATCAAGTCAGCCTTTAATAAAATCACTATTTTTCTCGTATCGCATCATGGCACGATGCTCAGGCTAGTAGATAACATAGTGGCGGAATGTAATGGGGAACGCTGGGGCACCGCGCATTGCGAGATCCAGCAAAGCTGCAGATCGCTTTGCTGGATCTCGCAATGCGCGGTTACCAACGTTGACGAGGAGATCATCATCGTAAACGGAGCGAGCGGCTCGTGTGAGTGTGGACAACAGGACGTTTCTCCACGTACGAAGCACCCACCTCATCACCTTTGCCGAGTATGCCACAGTCAACGAAACCCGATTTGTCAATCATGACGCAGCCCGGAAAAGGGCTCCAGGAGTAGCCAGCTCGCTTTCCGTGAATATTACCTTGGAGCACAACATCCTCATCCGTTTTAGTGAGCGTAACTCACGCTTGCAGCGTCCAAAATGCTGACACAGCGTCTGGTCGGATGCTCGTGCAATACGGCAAACACAGCATATTTGCGTGGCCGCTATGAAGTTCCATTTATGTTAGCAGTTACCCTTTCACCGTACAATTTAATTGTCAACATACTGGTACTCCACATTATTAGTTTTCTCAAGAACTTCGTGGAAGACGGCAGCCACCCGGCAACGAAGGAATAACTATTTAACTCATTTACACATACACGCTCGCTTGCGTGGCAATTAGAATTTGATTTTGTTTGTTACGGTCACTTGCGTGTCAATTAGAATTTGATTTTGTTTGTTTCGTTTATTTAATTACATTTTTTTTTCTTTGTGTGCGGATACATATCCACATATTCATGCATGTGAACATTTTTGTGTGTCACCCCTTTTAATCCCTTGTTCGTAGTTCTGCTGTGCCAGTGTCCTGTAACCGAAGGAGTGGATTAGGTGTCATATGCGAGTCTGACTTCAGAAAATACTGGAAGGAAGCTTGCAAACAAAACCACTGTGTTGCTTGGAGTACAAAATAAGAATAAATATTTATTACAAAGAAGTATGGACGATTATATGTATGAGTATACGATAAATTATGTAATCGTCAGAGTTCTTGCACGTTGGCGATTTTTGTTGTTGTCCATCAGCGTTGGCTTGCAGTTGCAGGATTTGTGTTGTGTTTGGCTTAAAAGCGGGAACTTCAGAAGCTATATGTGCACAAGAAACTGTAAAATTTTCACAGGAAACGCAAATCCAGGTAAGCCATGGTATATGTTTCGAACACGATGAACGATGCATTCAAGGTCTTGGATTGGTACGGGCAGCATCACGAAATTTGGTAACTGAAAAATCTTTCGCGAAAGCAAACACGACAATGGGATGTACCACGCTTTACATGAAACCTCTTTAATTACAGACTAGCCCACTCCAAGCCCACTTCAAGCCCACTTTCTAGGCAGGATCACTTCGTCTCTTGAAAGCCAAAGCCTTAACCCATCTACACTCGAAGGATTCAGGGATCTGCAAGTGGCGGATACACAGATCAACACAAGCGCGCCGTTTTGGGCGGTACTCTTTGGTCGCAAAATCTACGGCAACATGGAAATCTTATCGCAATTTTCCGATAATTGGGGGATTGTCACCTCATTGAACACGCCAAAACAAAGCAACGCTATTGCATTAACAACAATAACAGAAATAACCGCTTCGTTTAAGAAGTTCTGGGAAACTTGAAAGGACAAACTTATGCAGAACTGGAAAATAAACCACCACCCACAACCGCGATTGAATAGGGGAAGTAAATTGTTGAGCTTCCATTTAACTTAGTTAAACCTGAATTTGCAGACACTCTACAATGAGCTCTCCATCGCATCTAATCAGTGGAGCAATGACTACAGTTCATACACTTTATACGGCCATACATCAATTTTGGGCACATGCAAGTGGTCCCGCCGAAGGAGGTCGCTACTGGTTTTAATTGTATCTTCCACATCACCCGGTGCTGGGCCAAAAACTGCGATTAGTTTTCGATGGGTCGCGGCGCCAATGGCAAGGCCTTGAATGTGGGCCTTCGTTTCCGAATGTACGTTTATACGTTCTCAGCAGAAATTATGAAGATGTTCCAGCAAATATCGCTCAACGAGAGACATACGAATTACAAAAAAATCGTTTGGAGAGTGTTTAGTTAGCGAGCTTTTTCACTAACTATTTTTTGGCAAGATAACACAAAGATTTATTTTAGGTTTTATAAAGTGTATTTAATTAGATCGAACGTAAATTATAACAAGTTTTGTTTCAATTATTTCACTTATGTTATTAAGTACAAGAGTTTATTTAGCGGCACAAGGGCGGCTACAAAATAATACGATAATATGCGCAGACAAACCCGAATTGGTTTGAGCGTTAAATGCAACGATCTAGCAACGATCTGATAACGACGACAACTATTAACGACTGTTAGCTAACAACGACTGATGATGACTGATAATTATTTTCGGCAATGCCGATGCAATGCAGCTGCATGAGCTTAACGAAGAAGTAAGAAGTGATAAATGAACAAGCGATGGTTAAGAGAATTGCCTCGCAGGGCAAGCGAATTTAAGAGAGTTTGCCTCGCAGGGCAGTTTACAATAGTTTTAGTTATGATGTTAGGAAAACAAAAGCGATGTTATTTAAGTTGTTTGGGCTGGACCAAACATTCTCCCCCCGTTGGAAGACCAGGGCTTTCAACATCATCCTTCGTAGGCAAGAGGCACAATTTGGCGACAGCTCTCTTGGTGGTTCCTGTTGCAGTCTTCAGGACAGCGACTCGACAGATTTCATCCTTCCCCTTTATCAGCTCTAGCACACGAGCTAATGGCCATTTGAGTGGTGGTAGATTTTCATCCTTAATTAGGACGACATCGTTGACTTGCAGACTGGGTTGGGGAGAACGCCACTTGGATCTCTGCTGAAGGAGCGTCAGATATTCTTCACGCCACCGTTTCCAAAAAGTTTCCTGCAAATAAGAAATTTTCTGCCAACGATCAAGTCGGTTGACATTTAGGTTAGAGAGATCTGGTTCGCTGAAGCTGGTAGCAGGACCGCCAGTTAGAAAATGTGCTGGAGTCAGGACATGAAGGTCTGCTGGATCCTCTGATAGGGGCAGCAGCGGTCTAGAGTTGATGATGGCCGAAATCATGCAAACGATGGTGCGCAACTCATCAAATCCTAGTACGGATTGCGAAATAGTGCGATAAAGATGATGCTTGGCTGTCTTAACTGAGGCCTCCCAAAGGCCTCCAAAGTGAGGCGATCTGGGTGGAATGAATTTCCATTCGATGGAATCCGCTAGACAGAAGCTTTCGATTGCCTTTAAATGGTCCTCAGCTAAGAATAAACGACGAAGTTCGGCAAGCTCGTTCTTGGCTCCAGTAAAGTTGGTTGCATTATCAGACCAAATGCATTTGGGACGACCTCTTGTTGCAATAAATCGTCTGAGGGCTGCCAAGAATGTTGGTGTGGATAAATCAGCCACTAGTTCCATGTGAACTGCTTTGGTTGCAAAGCATATAAAAATGCATATGTAGCACTTCAACGGCTGGCGTTTTCGTCCCTCAGGCTTATACAGGAATGGGCCGCAGTAATCCACTCCAGTGACAGTGAAGGCCTTGCAAGAATCCACGCGTTCCTTTGGCAGGTCTGCCATAACATGCTGAAGTGTACGTGGCCGAGCACGACAGCAGCGAATGCACCTGGTGACGACAGCAGCGACTGTTCTTCTCCCCCCGATGGGCCAATAGTGGAGTCTGATTCTGGCCAGCAACGTCCGAGGTCCTGCGTGAAGGCTTTCTTCGTGGAAGTGCTTGATGATAGCCGAAGTTATTGGATGCTTCCTGGGCAGGATCATTGGATGACGAGAGTCAAAGGGCAGACTTGAGTTCGATAGTCTACCTCCGACTCGTAGAAGACCAAAATCGTCAACGAATGGGGACAGCGATGACAGGCAATTTGATGGCTTCAGGACATGGTTGGCCTGAATTGCTTTTAAGTCAGCCCACATGGTAGCTCGCTGCACTGTTCAGAATGGTACTAGCCGCTATGGAGTCTGCTAGTACCATTCTGAACACTTCTATTAATTCTACCCTTAACCCTACGGACATACTAGCGTTTGTAAAGATGCTTCCGACTTTTGACGGTACACCAGGAACACTAGACAAATTCATCGTTAGCGTTGAGGAGGTGATTATGCTCATTAGGGGTACGGACCAGACACCCTATGGACAGTTGCTGTTACGTTCAATTAGACACAAAATTATCGGTAGAGCTGCCGAAACATTGACTAACCTTGAAACGAAACTGGAATGGGACAGCATCAAGGCAAGTCTGACTAGCATTTACGCATCCAAAAAGACAGAACCAATGCTTATTCGGGAACTTCAAAATCAGCCCCAGGGAATGTCAGTAGGAAAACTTTTCCACGAGATCTCGAAACTAAGAAACCAACTTTTGAACGCCCAACCTGGCCCAAACAACCAATTCGTAAACCCAGCATCAAAAAGGGGGTTCTATGACGGACTCTGTCTGAATGCCTTTTTAGTGGGGCTCCGGGAGCCCCTGAAAACAATAGTTAGAGCTAGAAATCCAGACACGCTAGAAAAGGCATACGAATGGTGCCAACACGAGCAAAGCTTTTATTATCAAGACAAGGCACAAAGCTCAAACACAAGCAGGACTTACAACAATAATCCTGTGTATAGGAACAACAGGGGTAGAAACGATAGGAACGATAGGAACTACAACTCACAGTACTACCGCAGGGACAACTCCAGAAACGGTAGAACTTCAAATACAAGTAACACCTGGGGAAATCAGGCAGCTAATTCAAACCCATTCAGGCGGGAATCATCCCAGTCTCGAAATACTTCAAGTGGACGCACTTCAACCAACCTTAATAATATTGAGGACAGCGAAAATTTTCAAGCAGAAGCCTCGAAACCCCAGTCGGATACTTAAATAAGAAAGAATATCGCGGGTCTACACTTCCATATGTATTTTTGAAATTTGACAGTATAACAGCACCTCTAAAATTTTTGTTAGATACCGGTTCTACATTTTCCTTTATAGACCCTCATTTAATAACAAAGGATGACATGATAAAGTTAGACGAAGAAGTCACTATAAGTACAGTTTTTCATAATTACTCACTTACGCATAAAGTCCGACTACCCTTGCCGGAAGCATTTAAACAGACAGGGCAACTAGATCTTCTTGCCTTTAAATTTCACCCTATTTTTAATGGACTGCTGGGTATGGATTTCTTCGCATCCCACAAAGCTAAGATCAACATCGAGAATTCCAAACTCGAAACACATTTCGCCTCCATCGATATCCACACGGAAATCTATCAAGGCACTGACCTACTTCTTATACAACCTCAAGAAAGAGCTTTTATATCCCTACCAGTTAATATTACCGATGGAGACTTTCTCCACGAGCCCGTACTCATAAATAAAGACCTGTCCATTACTGGAGGTTTGTATTCAGCTAACAAGGGTTATAGTTTCATGGAGGTCGTCAATTATTCGAGAAGTCCACAGAACTTTTGCCTAGACCAACCAATCGCCGTAACACCCTATAACAGCAAAGATTACGACCAAGTACGAGGAGTGGTATTCGAACCTAAAAGTTCAGTTCGAGAACTAGGAGGCGTGTACCATTCTGTAAATCTGAAACAGTCAGAGTGGGTGATCTAAGTCGAAACAAGAATTTGTAAATGTATGAGAAAATTCGCTGCATGGCAGGAAATGAATTTTCGAACTTGCACGTAGATGTCAGATCAATCGGTGACGTCAAAACCAAACACGTTGCCTTGCGCAGCTCCAGTAAGCACTGCTCTTGGGCAGGGGATGGCGGCCAGCTGGATCGCGGTAGCAGCAAGAACGAAGGTCCATGAAACCAGAGATCGGACGCGTTCAATTCCATGGGCAAGGCTCCTCTGGATATGATATCAGCAGGATTTAGTGTAGTCGGTATGTGAAGCCATTCCATTCCGGCAGACAGTCTCTGAATGGATGCTACTCTGTTAGCAACGAAAGTCGTGAATCGGGATGACTCACTATTCAGCCAAGCTAAGACTACGGTTGAATCGCACCAGCAGAAGTATGGACCTGAAAATATATCCATTTTTTGAAGCTCGCTCAGAAGATTGGCCAATAGAAGCGCTCCGCACAGTTCAAGCTTCGGAATCGACAGAGTCTTTAAGGGTGCTACTCTGGACTTGGCGCACAATAGTTGGGCATTGGATTTGTCAGCAGATCTGGATACAATATACACGCATGCTCCATAGGCGGACATGCTAGCATCGCAAAACCCATGAATCTCGATTGATCCCTTTGGTAGTAGTGCGAATCTGGGAAATGTCGTCCTTTCCACGCTGCGAAACTGAAGGCATATACTGGACCATGTTGAGCTTAAAGATTCGGGCAAGCTTTCATCCCAGTGTAGCTTCTCCTTCCAAAGCTCCTGTAGGAAGATTTTAGCTTTGGTTATGACCGGGCTTATGAGGCCAAGCGGGTCATAAAATCGAGATATTGTCGAGAGCACAGAACGTTTGTTTGGCTTGGTCGTGGACTGCGTAGGCAAGTACGAGAAAAGAAGGACATCTGATGCAGGATCCCAAGCCAATCCGAGAGTGTTGGTTATGTCGCTTCCATCGTGAAACTTCAAGAATGATTCCTTCTCCTCTTCTGGAACATTTTCGAGAACGACTGGTATATTGGAGCACCACTTTCGAAGCATAAAGTGGCCTTTCGCTAGCAAGTCCTTTGTTTGGTGAAGAATCTCCTCGACTTCTTCAATGGAACTGCCTCCGGTTATCAGGTCATCAACATAGAAATCACGTTTGACGATTTGAGACCCTACAGGATATGTCGACTGCTCATCCATGGTCAACTGATGCATCGCTCGAACTGATAGAAAAGCGGCGGGTTTGGTACCGTATGTTACGGTATCCAACTTGTAGATGCTGATGTCATCCTGATCAGAACCGCGCCAGAGAATGCATTGCAAATAGCTGTCTGACTTGGCTATTCGAACACAGCGATACATTTTCCCAATGTCTCCAGTGAGAGCAACTGCAAAGGTACGAAAACGGATTAGAATATTGAAGAGTTTAGCCTGTATGGTAGGTCCTGCCATCAACGTGTCATTCAACGAAATTCCAGATGATGAAGCTGCTGATCCATCAAATACGACACGTAGTTTGGTGGTCGTGCTATCTTCCTTAAAGACGCAATGATGCGGGAGGAAGAATCTGCAGTGCATTCTATCATCCGGAGGTACAAGCGACATATGGTTGAGTTCCAGATACTCCTTTATGAAGTTAGAGTATTGTTTCTTGACATCAGGACGGCGTTCCAGCTTCCGCTCCAAGCTGAGAAAACGGCGAAATGCTTGCTGGTATGACTCTCCAAGACCATCGATTTTTTCCAGTTTTCGGTAGCTGAACTTCATATTCACCAGTGGGTAGTCGAAAGAAGGTGTTTTGGAAATGGTCCTCGCATTCCGTTTCTTCCTTGGTGAATTTCGAGCTTTCCGAAGGACAGGATTCTAATTCCCAAAATCGCTGCAGAAGATCATCGACTCGATCTTCAGGCTTTGGAATTTTATCTGAAATAGATTGAGAGGCAACGAGAGTGTGGCAAGTTTGTGCCGTGCCACCAGAGACAACCCATCCAAGTCGAGTTTTCTGCAGAGTGGGAAGACGGGGTCCAAGTTTGATTTGTCCGATACATAACAAATCATAAAACAAACTTGCTCCTATGAGAAGGTCAATCCTCTTCGATTTGTTGAATTCCGGGTCAACCAATGGTAGATTCGATGGGATATTCCATTGTGATGAGTCGAAGTTGAAGTCAGGCTGGTCGTTGACAATTGAGGATGCAACCACGGCTTCAATATTTGCAGAGTAATTGGTAGAGTTGGATGATAAATTCAGCTGGACAGCATATCCTGTAGTTCTGAAGCTAGAATCTCCAAGACCAGATACAGCAGCAGCAGATTTAATCCCTTTGAGCTGAAGAAGGTGTACGAATCTTGATGTTACAATGTGCACTTGCGAACCTGAGTCGAGTATGGCACGACAAGGTATTAGACTCCCAGCTCTGTTTTTAATAAAAACATTAGCAGTTGCCAAGAGCACAAAGTTGCAAAGTTGAGGTCCTTCGAAAGAGGAAGAAGCTGAGTCAGAGGGCAGCGTGCAAGCGAGTGAGTACTGATTGGAAGAACCTTGAGCTGTATTAGCTGGGGCCGGCGCAGGCTGAGCTGGCGATGGCATTGCAGATGACGTTGGAAATGCTGCGTCTCCCAAATGAAGCAATGTGTGATGCTTGGATCCACATTTCCTGCAGCCGCTAGAATTGCACGAGCGCAATTGGTGCCCGTCTTTAAGGCAATTTATGCACAGCGACATCTTCTTTACTTCCTTCAGCCTTAGTGCTGGGGAAAGATTACCAAATCTCGTGCATGTATATATGGAGTGGCCACTATCGCTACAGAATCGGCATCGTGATGGACTGGCAGCTAGTAAGGCCTTGTTCGAACGATTGTGCCTCCCAGATGAGTGGCTGGATGAATGGGTAGCCATGGCAAGCTCCACATTTTCTAGTGTCTGGCAACGTCTTTCCAGGAACTTCGAAAACTCCTCCCACGATGGTATTTTATTAACAGAGCACGACTCCTCCCACTTGGCTTGAGTAGATGGATCCAGCTTTTGGACCAAGGCTTGAACAATGAAGCAATTTGCAATTTGCTCTTGATCGCCTATTGCTTGAAGAGCCCGCATGTGACTGATAAGCCTATCAGAAAGTTCTCTTAACTTTTTTTTTTTTTTTTTTTAAATTTCGCGCGTAGTCCCACGGCCCACCACCCGCCCAACCGACCGAGGGGCGACAGCCGTGTATCGTACGGCACGATTCGCGGAAAATTTGACGCGATGTTAATTAAGAAAAAAAAATTAAAAACGAAGAAAAATTTTAAATTTAATTTAAGTTTAAATTTAGCAATCTAATTTTGTGCCAGAAATGTTAAAACTAATTGCTTAAGGAGCTGCAGAGAGTCAGAAGAGGATAAAATAGGAAAAAGTCTATTGTAGTCAGAACAAAGTACTCTGAAAGGCTCATGCACGTTATAATTACGTCTACACTGATTTAAAACTAAAGGAACATAATTTCTAGTTAATCTACTTGGTACCGAGAAATTTAGTCTACTCAGCAAATAAGGACAGTCAATATCACCACGTATAAGGTTATGAATAAATACAGTACCAAGCATCGTTCTACGGTTAGTAAGGGAGGGCAGGTTAATGAGGAGCAATCTATGCGAATATGAGGGTAGGAATAGGTTTGCATTCCAGTTAAGGCGGCGTAGTGCAAAAATTAAAAAGTTTTTTTGTACTGATTCAATGCGATCAGCATGTACTCCGTATTGAGGACTCCAAACGGGTGCCCCATACTCGAGGATTGTCCGGACCAACGATATAAATAAAGCCTTGGTAACGTAAGGATCCTCAAATTCCTTCGACCATCGTTTAATAAATCCAAGCATTCCCCTAGCTTTATTAACCATGCTCGAAATATGCAGAGTGAATTTAAGTTTGGGGTCCAATAGGACGCCAAGATCGTCAACAAGCGCTATTCTTTCCAAGGCACCACCACTTAGCGAATAGGTGACGTTATGCGGATTGACCCGACAGAACGTCATCAGCTTGCATTTGGAGCTGTTTAATTTTAGTAAATTGTCGTGACACCAGTTTTGAAAATTGTTTAGGTCTGCCTGAAGGCTTAAATGACGGGAGCAATCATTATACTGCAGACAGAGTTTTACGTCGTCCGCGTACATAAGTACGCGGGAATGCGTAATGATCGATGGAAGATCATTAATGAACAAAGTGAAAAGTAATGGTCCCAGATGGCTTCCTTGTGGTACACCAGAGGTAACTCTGAGGAGACCACTTAAGGAATTTTTGAAAAGGACTCTTTGAGTTCGGCCACTGAGATAACTAAAGATCCAACTTAAAAGATCTGCTGGAAACCCCATCATGTCAAGTTTGCGAATCATTAGGAAGTGATTTACAGAGTCAAATGCTTTACTGAAGTCTGTGTAAATGACATCAGTTTGGAAATTATTTTTAAAGCCATCTATCACGAAGGATGTGAGCTCTAGAAGATTTGTTGTGGTAGACCTGCGTTTCATAAATCCGTGTTGGCATGGAGATATGATTGATCTACAAAGGTGCTGCAAGTGGGGGGTTACTGCACGTTCGAAAAGCTTTGGAATTGCTGACAATTTAGAAATACCTCTATAATTGCAAGCATCCGACTTGCTTCCCTTTTTATGAAGGGGAATAACAAATGACTCCTTCCAAATAAGGGGAAACTGACAAGTTTGTAGGGATAGGGTAAACAGCTTGAGAAGGGGTTTACACAATGCATTTGCACAGTGTTTAAGAACGCACCCAGGAATCCCGTCAGGACCTGGAGAGTAAACTGGTGTAACACGTTGAAGATCCAAAAGTAGGGAGCTTTCGTTTAAGGTGGGACGAAATATTAGGTTCGACTTAGGTATTGCGTATAAATATTGCTCACTTGAAGACACTGTTGAGTAAGTTGTTTGAAAGAATTGGGCAAACAGATCGGCTATTGCCTGATCAGTGTTAGCCGTCCTACTTTCAAACGAAAGCGAAGGCGGAAAGGAACATGATCTGCGCTTAGTGTTGACAAAATTATAGAACTGTTTGGGATCCCGTAAAAACTGGGACCTGCAACGGACTAAATAATTTTTGTAACACTGAGCGTTAAGCACGGTAAAGTTTGACCGAGCTCTTATGTATTTTCCAAAAACAGACTGACAACCTGAAATTTTATATTTTTTATAAAGTCTGGACTTTACATTCCTAAGGTGTGTTAACTCCTTACTAAACCAAGGTGGTTTATGGGATGTTGACGGGTTATATAGCGGAACACACGAGTTAAAAAACAGTTTGATTGCCGAATAAAAAATTGTAATGGCGTCTTCCATATTATTGCAGGAATAGAGATCGGGCCAGTCATTGCCAGATATAAGATGATTAAGTCTCAGAAAGTTAGCCTTGCGAAAACAATGAATTCGCTTGGCTGACTTTAAAGCATTATTTTTTACTGTTATACCAATGTCGATAGTCACCTCGAAAGCAGGGTGATATGGATCTTCAGGCAGCGTAAGTGGAGTAGCTCTAGAAAGAACAACACTTTCAGGATTTGAGACGAGGCACAAATCAAGTAAGCGATCTAAAGAATTTCGAACATGGTTTACCTGACACAGAGGTATGTCAAGTAGACCGTCAATGAATTCATTTTGGCCTAAGGGTTGTAAAGCATTGGAATTATCATCCGAGGACCACGTAGTTCCAGGTATATTAAAATCACCTAGAACTACTAACTGATCCATATCGGACAAAGAACTCGAAATTGACTTTATAACTGCCTAAAATAGTCCTCAAGTTCGGACGAAGGAGGTATGTAAGAGCAGGTAATTAAAATTAACCTGCCAGCAACAGACAGTTTTACGCATACAAATTCTAGCTCAAAGTTTAAATGATCTTCTGTCAAAACCTCTTCTGACGTGAGGTTAGCGTCCACTGCAATAAGGACGCCCCCTCCTCGTCTAGAGGGACGGTCATGCCTATATATTGTGTACTTACCGGGAAAAACTTCGGAGCTAAAGATCTCCGGCTTTAACCAGGTTTCTGTGAACACAATAACTTGGGATGCAAACGAAAAGCTATCAGTATACAATTTGGTTAGCTTGCTACGCAAACCTCTTGTATTCTGATAGCTAATTAGGAGGTTAGTGGTTAGTTTTTTGGGGGTAAAGACGGCGCGGTTTGTTGGTCCCGGCCGGGGAGTTTAATTCCCGTAGGGCCTTTCTTTTTATTTTCGCTACGAACTCCTTAACCACCATTTTTGCTGGCCAAAAGTCGCTCGAGCATATGGTGTTAAAAGTTCGTCAGGAACACTTATCTTGAAAGATGAAATGTTCCTAGCGTATGAAAAATTGAATTTTTCCACCTTTACTTTATCGGCATTAATTTTGTCTTTAATGTAAGACGTGACATCAAATGATGTGAGATCAGGGGCCAGCCGAGAAACAAATATTTGTCTCATTTGTGGAACCACTGTGAGGGGTTTTGCTACTGCAGGCAGTGGGCCTGCGGTGGCAATTTGGGCCGGTAGTCCGGTCTCAGAAGCCTCTTGTGGGGGTATATTTGGTTGGTTAGGTGGAATTACATTTTGAGAACCACCTTCGGACAAATCGGAACTTTTTAGAGGCGTTGGTCTACACTCCACTGTGGATTGATCGGGGTCCGAATCTTTTTTGGCTGCCGATCTTAGCAACATTTGAGGGGTTGCTAAAGTCGGCTGCTCATCCGCAGAGGAGTTCTGCCGGTCGCTTCGGAGTTGCGGGACGATTCCCTC